ATGATTTGTATGGATTTTAATAAGAATATGCTTGTTTTATTGAATATGATGTGCGAATTTGTTTGAAGTTGTTATCTTAACATTATAATTTAAATTAATTACATCGAGCTACTCTCTTACTGTAAACAAAAAAACAAATAACGTAATTTTGAATAGACAACAAGCTAAGTACTTCGTACTAACTTATTGTTTAATTAATATTTGATTAGTGTACACAAAGCAGAAATTCAAACGCAAATACATCACCTTAAAATCAACTTAACTGAGAGAATGTGAGAGATGAGAGAATATTTTCCGTGCCTTTCTCATTGATCAAAAGTCAATATATAATACAAGCGTATTCTAGGTTAGGGTTGAGGCTACATTAGTAATTTACAAACTAATTATATACTAGATTATTTACATAATCTAACACTCCCCTGCAGTCAAAGCGGGAGGACCATGAACGCTTAGACTGTCCCGAAAATCATCAAATAAAACCTTAGGCAGACCTTTGGTGAAGATGTCCGCAATCTGGTATCGGGAAGGCACATGTAGGACACGAACTTCACCCCTTTGTACTTTCTCACGAACAAAGTGTATGTCCATCTCAATGTGTTTAGTGCGCTGATACTGAACCGGATTACTAGTGAGATAAATTGCACTAACATTGTCACAATAAACCAATGTTGCTTTCGGAATAGGAAGAAATAGCTCTAGCAACAGATTGCGAATCCAGCAGGATTCAGAAACCACATTGGCAGCCCCTCTGTACTCTGCTTCGCAACTAGACTTAGACAAAGTGGGTTGTCGTTTCGAAGACCAGGAAATCAGATTATCACCAAGGTACACACAATACCCTGATGTAGAACGACGAGTATCCGGACACCCGCCCCAATCTGCATCCGTGTATGACACAAGAGAAGAAACAGGAGATTTATGCAATTGTAAACCAAAATCCGTGGTACCTCTAATGTATCGAAGAATGCGTTTCAACGCATCCATGTGCTCAACACGAGGTGAGTGCATAAATAAGCAAACCTGTTGAACTGCATAAGATATATCTGGTCGGGTGAATGTCAAGTACTGCAAAGCACCACAGAGGCGCCGATAAGAAGTAGGATCGTCATAAAGAGCACCCTCCTTAGTGCTCAATTTGCCTTTGGTGTCAACAGGAGTAGGCGAAGGTTTACAATTTGCCATTCCTGCTTTTTCCAAAATATCCTGCGTATACTTCTTTTGAGATAAAAATAAACCATTTTTACCTCTAGTAACAGCAATACCCAAAAAATAACTTAGAGGACCCAAATCTTTCATTGCAAATTCAGAGCTCAGCCTAGAAATAATATGTCGTCGGAGAGATTCCGATGAAGCAGTAAGCACAATATCATCAACATATAGAAGGAGATAAGCAGTATCATTACCATGGCGATATATGAACAAAGAGGTGTCAGATGTACTATTAGCAAAACCAATAGTAGCCACAAAATCTGCAAAACGTTTGTACCAAGCACGGGGTGCCTGTTTCAGACCATATAGAGACTTTTCTAATAAACAAACATGATCAGGTTTATCCGGATCTTTGAATCCCATAGGTTGATACATGTAAACTGTTTCATTCAAATGACCATGTAAGAAAGCATTTTTCACATCTAATTGATGAATTTGCCAAGACTTAGCCAAAGCTATGCTAAGAACCACCCGAATAGTAGCCGGCTTGACAACCGGGCTAAAAGTCTCATCACAATCAATTCCTTCCCTTTGAGTTTTATCATCACCAACAAGACGAGCCTTATGTCTCTCAAAAGACCCGTCAGACTTAGTCTTATGCCGAAAAATCCACGTGGTCGAGGAACCAATTTCCAAGTACCATTGTCAATAGGAGCCTTATGGTCATGAAGAGCACTAACCGGGTTTTTGGGAATAAGAGATATGGAGGTAGTAGTGTGATGTGTTTGATCGGAGTACTTTGGATTTGGCTTGACAATCCCATGTTTGCTACGGGTGGTCATGGAATGAGAAGGAGGGAAGGAGAGATTTGGTGGAGGAAGAGGTGTATGTGTAGGAGAGAGTGAGTTAGGAGCCTCGGGAGTGGGCTGCTGCTGCCCGGTAGCTATCGCGGGCGCAAGCTGGAACCTGCGGCCTGGCAGTAGGGGAATGCCAGGGGCTGCGGGCGCAGGTGCCTGGCTGCGGGCTACCTGCTGGAGCTGCTCAGCAAAGCTGGGCAGGGGACTCCGCGGCTAGCCTGTGGCAGGGCACTGTGTGCCGCGGCCAGGCTGCGGAGGTGGCTGGTAAGGGGAGCCTCCACCCTCTGCTTGATCCACACCCACGGCAGCGCTAGTGGGATCAGACCGTGTAGGGGGGTGTGAGCTCGGGGAGGTGGCTTCGAAAGGATTTGAGTTAGTTTGCCAAAGAAAGGAATGATTAAGAGGACTCAAATCTTCACTTAAGAAGTCATAAGTATGAGCTTTAGGGGAATGAACCTTAGAGAAAGGGAAGACAGACTCATCGAACCATACATGTCTCGCAATGATTATACGCCCACTCGAAATATCAAAACATTTGTAACCTCGATGATTACTTGGATAGCCAAGAAAAACACATGGTGTGGAACGTGGTTGAAGTTTGTTTACCTTAGTGGAGGGAAGAAGGGGGTAACATAAGCAACCGAACACCCTAAGATGTGAATAATCGGGATGTTTGTGATATAAAATTTGAGTAGGGGACTTGAAGTCGAGAAGTTATGTAGGTAGGATATTATGAAGATAAGTTGCCATCTCTAAAGCATGATGCCAAAAAGTGGGAGGCATAGAAGCATGACAAAGAAGGGTACGAACTATATTATTAATGGTCTTAATTTTTCGTTCGGATTTTCCATTTTGAGGTGAAGAATATGGACAAGACAAGCGGAAAACCATTCCATGTTGGTGACCAAATTTAATAAAAGGATCATTTTTAAATTCAGTTCCATTGTCACATTGGAAAGCTTTCACTTCCCATTCAAATTGGGTGTGAATATAGGTTCGGACACAAAGAAATAAGTCATAGACTTGAGATTTAGAGGCAATCGGAAAAGTCCATAAAAAATTCGTGTAATCATCAAGAAAAAGAACATAATATTTGTGCCCAAGAGAACTAGATACGGGATATGTCCATAAATCACTATGAATAATGTCAAATGGCATAGTAGTGTGAGAATGCGAATTGTAAAAAGGCAATTTTATTAATTTTCCCAAAGGAGAAGAGTGACAAACATCAAGACGAGCCTTATTACATTTGATTAATTCACTACTACGCAAAGAACTTAAGATTGCATTTTCCGGATGACCTAAGCGGGAATGCCACACACTAGGAGAAATAACGGCAAAAGCTAACGGAGTGGAACATGAAAGGACTTGAAGATCCGAGAAGAAGGGATATAGATCGCCACTGCTATTACATCTCACTATTTTGCTCCCCGTCTGCAAATCCTTCACAGAAAACCTAAAAGGATCAAACTCAATTGAAACACTATTATCGGTAGTGAATTTTCTAACAGAAATGAGATTTTTGATGAGTTTAGGAACGTGAAGGACATTTTTGAGTTGAAGTGTGTTTTGGTTTAGAGATTCATGACCATAACCTTTAATCGGAACTTTGCTACCATCACCAACAATAATAGAATTATTAATGTTATTGCTCAAATTGACATATGAAGACAAATTACCTTGGGAATTAGTCATATGCGATGTAGCACCGGTGTCCATGTAGTAGCTCGGATCGGCAATGGAGAAGGTATGCATAGCTTGTTCAATATTCGTAGGAGCATAACCCGAAGAGGAGGATGAATTTCCCATGAAATAAGCTTGCGGAGGTTTGGAACCAAGAATACCCGGCTGCTGACCTTGGGGGGCGGGCTGCCGTGGCTGCCACTGATATGGAGTAGACCCTTGTGTAGGGTAAGGGCAGGGAGGAGACGCCCAAGGCCCTGCATTCCAGTACTGCCAGGGAGGGGGCATCATCCACCCCTGCCCAGGCTGTTGCTGCTGTTGGGAAGCAGGACCCCAGCGTTGCAGCTGCTGCGGGACCTGCTGCTGCTGGTTGTTCTGGCCAGCACCCCCGGCAATGGTGGTTTTGCCCTTGCCACCACCGCCTTTTCCCTTATTTTTCCGACCACTGTTGCGAGAATTTCCACCACGAGATTGTGCTGAATTTTGAGAGTAATCTCCAACAGATTGTGAAGCCTGGGAAGAGGTATGAGATAGATGCGCCTCCTCATGGATTTCACTGGACACGTCGGCTGCATTGGTTTTCTCCTCAAGTTCGAGCATGGAACGCAACGCATCAAAGGAAGGAAGGGGATCGAGATGACGAACGGACGTTCGAAAGGGTTTATACTCCTCCGAGAGACCCTTCAAAAGTTGCAAAGCCATTCGATTGTCGGAGACTATGTCACCAAAGTTTTTCAAACTATCCGCAAGGGCTTTGAGATGTGAGCAATATGATTTAACACCATCAAATTGGTCAAGTTTGGTGTTTGTGAATTGCGCATCAAGGGTTAAAGCACGAGCAGATTTGTTATTATGGAAGAAATTCTCCAACCTTTTCCAAGCGTCGACAACCTTGTCATCGGGGTCGGCGATGGTGTTGAGTAAGTCAAAAGATATTGTCCCATAAATCCACTGTCTAACAATGTCATCAAGGCGTTGCAAGAAAGCCAAATCGGCAGCAGTTTGGTCGGGTTTCTTGGCAGAGGGATCAACCGGAGGAGGAATGATAAAATCAATCACCATGTTTGCACGACAGTGGAGTTGAAAAAGAGTCTTCCATAGGTTGTATTGAGATCCCTTGTAGTCCAGAGTCACCGGAATACATGCTTTGATGTTGTTAACAGTAGTGGCCGAATGGAGTTTGCTAGAATCGACCATTGAAGAAGAGAAGAAGAAATGAGCGGAAGAGTTAGGGTTTCGGATTGAAAAACCTAGACTCGTGATACCATGAGAGAATGTGAGAGATGAGAGAATATTTGTCGTGCCTTTCTCATTGATCAAAAGTCAATATATAATACAAGCGTATACTAGGTTAGGGTTGAGGCTACATTAGTAATTTACAAACTAATTATATACTAGATTATTTACATAATCTAACATTAACTAATGTAGTTTCATATTGTAAACAAGCAAAATGACGAGTACTTATTTGAATACACAATACTATTACTGTAGTTTTCTTAATACACCATGCAAAAAATAAATCATTGTTTGATGAAGTAATTCTTTTCAAAGTCTAGCTTAGTTGGGCAACTTTGATCACCATAATTCCTTTCAACTTCTCCATTTTCAATACTCAATATATGTTGGTCTTAGTCTCATGTACGGGCTCTTTCGAGGCAGGATATGAGTATCCATTGTTTCCGGATTGTGAGTTTGTGAGATAATCAGGTGACTTGCCTGTTGCAATCTTAAGGTACGGCGAAGGTTCAATGGTTTTAGTTATCTTTCTTTGTGGAGTGGTTGTTTGACGAGGAGGACTAGAATGATAGGCACTTGGTTTCATCCCAACTTTGCTTCCATATTCTTTTGGTTGATGATCATAAGCATAATCATCGGGCTTAGTCTTACTAATCTGAATATCGCCTTTATTATTACCTATTTGCTTATCATTAGGGTTGCTTGTAACTCTAGGTGATTGAGGATTCACGGAAGAGTTTGCCAATCTACTGTTAGGAACTCCTATAGTGTTTCGAGTTGGTGGTGAGCTTGATGACCTATTCCATTGGTTGAAACCACCCTTGGGAGATTGGGCCGGCTTTAAAGGAGGATCATCAATGTTACCACTTAGTGGTGAGTGGTCATGAACAAAGCTTGGTTGCTTATCCAACTTATTAAAAGCGCCATAATCTGTAGAAGGTCGAGACTTCACAGGGGAATTTGGCCACTGGTTATCAGGATTAAGGCTCATTGACCTTGGATTTTCATGGTTCTTAAAAGGTTGAGGCTTGACAGAATCATATTTCCTTGTTGCAGATGGATGATCATAACTAGGGCTTGATGATCTATCCCATTGTTTGTTGGATACTCCATGATCTTTAGGAGATTGAGGCTTCATCGAGTTACCCCATTCGTTGCTTGGAATACCAAGAGCTCCCCCATTGTTCTTATTTGGTGGTGGGTGATCTAGGACAGGGTTTGATGTTTTGCCCCATTGGTTTTTGGGAACATCATTATCCTTGAGAGGCTGAGGCTGAGGCTTCGTTACAGAGTTATCCCATTGGTTGTTTGGAGCACCAGAAACTTTTCTATTGTTCCCATTTGGTGGTGGCTGATCATGGATGGGGCTTGATGATCTATTCCACTGTTTGTTGGGAACTCCATGATCCTTAGGAGATTGAGGATTTGTCGAATCACCCCACCGGTTCCTAGGAACACTATAAACTCCCTCGGTGTTCTTAGTTGCTGGTGGTGGGCGATCATGGTCAGGGCTTGATGTTTTATCCCATTGGTGGTTTGAAACTCCATTATCCCTGGGAGATCGAGGCTTCATTAACGAGTTATCCCACCGGTTGCTCTGAACACCAGGTTCTCCTTTAGTATTCTTAGGCGGTGGTCGGTGATCATGGTTTGGGCTTAATGATCTGTCCCATTGGTTATTGGGAACTCTATGAACCTCAGGATATTGAGGCCTCATCAAAGAGTTTCCCCATTGACTGCTTGGAACATCAAAAGCTCCCCCTTTGTTTTTAGTTGGTGGTGGGAGTTCACGGTTAGGGCTTAATGATCTATTCAATTGGTTGTTCGAATATCCATGACCCTTGGGAGATAAAGGCTTCGTCAACGAGTTACCCCATCGGCTGCTTGGAACACTTGGAAGTCCCCCAGTGTTCTTAGGTGGTGGTGGGTGATCACGAACCAGGCTTAATGATCTATCCCAATGGTTAGAAAATCCTTGACTCGTGGGAGATTGAGGATTCATTGACGAGTTTCCCCATCGATTGCTAGGAACACCAAGAACTCCCCCATTTTTCTTAGATAATGGAGGAGAGTGATCATCAATAGAGCTTGATGATCTATACCATTGGTTACTAGGAACTCCATAACCCTTGGGAGATTGAGGCCTCATCAAAGAGCTTTCCCACCTGCTATTCGGAACTCCACCCGTGTTTTTCTCATTTGGTAACGAGTAATCACGGATATGGCTCGATGATCTACGTGGTTGATTGTCATGGATTCCATAACTGTGAACAGACTGAGGCACTTTAGAGGCCTTTGGAGCTCCATTAGGTTTCCCATCTACTGGTGGTTGATAAGAGTTTCTAGGAATTTCATAGCTATCAGAGGACTGAGGCTTCCCACCAGAAATGCCCCATCGATCATTGCCGAATTTGTAATCTCTCCACATCTTTGAAGGTTGATTATTAGGAGATCGATCACCATAACTTGGGCTAGATTTGTCCCATTGTTTATTAGGCACTTCATGATCTTCCGGAGTATGAGGATTAATTGGAGGGGAGCCCCAATTAGTTTTAGGAGCTGCATAACCCTCAAAGATCTCTAACTTAGTTGGAGACTTATAATGACTCCAAGGATCTTCAGCAGGATAAGGTGACCTATCCCACTAAAAGGAGCTTCATAATCTCTGGGAGCCTTGGCTTTCGAGCGAGACTGATCCAAATATCCCTTATTAGGAATACCAGAGTCTCTATGAGAATGGTGATCATAAACAAGGCCCGGTGATCTATCGTCATGGTCATAAGGATCACCATGGTCCCATGAAACCTTTGATTTCACAGGTGGACTACTAGGATAATAGTCAGATCCGTAGTCTCTAGTAGGGTACACCCTCACTGGAGAGCTACGCCGGCCCCAATTTGGCCCTGAATTTGGGATGGTGGCCAAACCAGGTGGCCCATTGACTTCATTAAGAATTTGTGTGATGAAATTCTCAACCTCAGGAGGACGACCATGGTTGACCATCGAGGAATCTACCTTCGAATGAGAAGTGGGGTACTTTTATGTGGTGGCAGCACGTGACTCGATTCTTGTGACATATGAACGAGTCCCCCGAGAAACATCATAGCTGATGATTGGCCTACCGCGGACATGATCAGGGTGGCTATAATCATATCTAGACATTTTTAGATTTTTTCTTATTCAGAGAGGATTCTGTGTGTTTTCTCTGGCATACTGAACTAATTGAGTGTCTGCAACCTGCATTATATAGAAAAAGGTTAGGAATATATTCACCAGAAGAAATAACAGATGATTCTGACTGCGAAGCTAAGATATTTACCAGTTTAAAGATTCTTTCTAATCTTTTGTAATCTGCAATCTAAGAATCAAATTCTGCATACCACTTGTCAGCAGATAGTTAGGATTTTGTAGGATTTTTACCCCTGATTCTTGTATTCGGAGATAAGATGAAAGCAGATCTGCAACTTGAACGCAACTTCATCCCCAACAAGAGCTCTGATACTTGGTCACCCATTAACAGCAAAAGTATTTGGTTCCTGTTAAAACACCTCACTCTGTACTCCGAAAAGAACACAGAATAAAGCTCAGGCAGCATAAGTCAAATTAAAGTCCCTTCTTTTGAGATATTTTCTCGAATTGTACACATGTAAGGAATTCCAAAACCCCTACAAGTCTCTACTGTAAGGCCAAACAAGACCATCATCAAAGAAAAAAGAGATCAGATATTTGATGCTATAAGTTCAGTTCATGAAATACTTTATTTACTCTGAGTCATTTGAGTGAATTAAATTTTTCACAATGCTTTCTATAGAAAAATAAACCCACAAGTACAAGCTCAAATGTTCAACTGAACCACTTTGTTAATAATCAAAAGCTGCACAGATAACAATATTCAGAAAAATGCTATACATATCATCAAAAAATATTGAATATAGAGATCTCTTTATATCATAGAGTCAAAATCATGTGTAACTTATAGTCCCCTCTGTGTTTATGGGGTAAATGATGGTACATCTTTTGCAGGGGTAGATGCCAACCGATAAATGGTTCTATCAATAATATTTCTGTAAGGATCATCTTCTCTCTTCTTAAGTAAATAATCTATATTTGAGGAAACTTCAGATTTAATCTGTGAATACAACTCTTCTGCACTCTTTTTATCACTCAGTAGCTCTTCCCTCCCTTGAGTTTCAATCGGCTTGCCGAAGAGATAGTAAAAACGACCCGGAACTTTAGGAAGAAGTCCAGGAATGAAGAGGTTTTCATTCCCAACCTCCCCTTCATCACCAGTCCTGTGATGACAAAATTTTGTTGCAGCGTTAACCATGAATGCCATCTTCATTGTAGTGTGATACGGTAAAAAAAAAAAAGAGAATCATAATTATTTCTGATGACTGAAATTTTTGTGCAACTCTGTTTGCCAAATTATATATATGCATATACATTTACTGAAATCAGTTACAAACACTGACGGACAACATTAGTTCTTTGTAGAAAATGATGCATAATTTTTATTATTGGTACCTCAAGTAAAATTGCAAGAAGCTACAAGAGTTAAAAATAGGTTATAAAAAAATGAGAGTATGAGACACTCATTGAAGGACAGGTAGGTCTAAAGGGAAATTAAATTCGAGTAAAAATGTTGAATTAAGTTTAAATAAATTTAGAATATAGTTCTCCAAAGAAAGAATGTCATTCGATCATATTTAAGGGGAAAAAAAAGGGATAAATACCTCACTCTTCCAGACTCATCAGCACTTTGCCGTACACGTTCATTCAACACAGGGATTCTCATTAAGTCATTATAGTCAAGGACCAACTGCCAATACATAAATCAATGATTTAGAGCAACTGTTGGGAAGAAAGGAAGTAAACGTAAAATGGAAGGAAAGAATATTAATATATTTCCCATACTTAGCTTTAATACTTTTTAGTTATTATGGAATCAGTTTTGATCAAAGGGTTCAGTAAAATTCAGGCTGGGCTAGATCAGGCTTTTCAGGCCAAAACAAGCTTTGGCTTAAAAATACACTTTTGTAGTGTTTTAAGCCGTTTTTTTTTATCCCAAAATTTCTTTTCAAACTACATAATATACAGGCTGGGCCAATGATGATCAACCCCAGTCCCAAGTAACTTGCATGTTTCTATACAGCTCAACTTAAATGGGGATGTTCTTACTGAGTTCTTCACATTTCTTAGTTTCTCTGTTTTTTTTTTTAATGTTCTATGAAAGATCTCAGCATTCAAATGGAAAACAATAAGATTTCATCACTTTAGTTATTCCACCAAGTTTGTACTTATTGAGGAGACGACTGACTAATATTAAACAGCACCAAACAACTGTAACTTATTTGTTAGTCTTATAGAATATTTGGTTAGTTAAATGTCTTACAATCCAAGGATTAATAACAGCCTATAAATTTGACGGTTAAGCTTAGCATAGATTTATCCCCCTAGACATTGGGAAGGTATGGTAATAATTCATAAGAATCCCAATTTGGCTCTCACTGGATGCTATTTCTTCCACCTTCAGCAAAGTTGGAAAAGTCTCTAAAAAGGCATATTTCATTTTGGATTTTAATGGATTAGATCAAACATCTCTTATAGTCCTAAATTGTCTACTTATCTGTTGTGAAGATGTAGGTCAACCAATATTCCTTCAGGATAAGGATTTATGGGATACATCCACATAGCACTAGTAGAGAAAAAGGCTGAAAGCTTATTATTAATATTACACAGAAAGTCGTACGTATTTGATACACCTTACTGTACCTCAAACAGGAGCCTCAATAGAGACATGGGCATTGAGATAATAGCACAGTATGATGCTCATTGTGTCAGTATATAGATGATTTCATTTCATAAAATAATATACATGAAATTTTATGATGAACTACCTAGTTATTTTTTTGATTCTAATGAACTACCTAGTTATGATGTCCTATTCTAACCTTTTTCTGCTGTGAAGTAGGCCAATAAATACATCAAGTCAAAGGTTCAAATGTTGAACATTTCAACTGAAAATTTCTTATTGATTAAATAAAGCAGTACTAGAAACACAAAATGAGAGGTTACCTCTGCTATATCATCTTCCCCGACAACTCCAAAAGGTACAATTTTGGCCTTAAATTTTGCAGCCATTCGCACAAATTCTGGTCGGTCAGGCCAAAATAGCTTATATGCTTCACCCTGATAACAAATAATTTGTTAAATTTTCAATGGTAGAAATTTCCAAAAGAATACAAGTACGGACATCACCTACTGATATGCGATGGCCTCATATCAGTCAAATGTGTCTTTCTTTAACAAGTCTTCAAAGTACTCAGGACATTACCATGAGGACAATTCACACATTGACCCAACCTTGTCAAAGTTCCACTAATCTCAGAACAAATTACAGAACATCTAAGAGGCATATGCTTGTGGCTTAATCACCCAGTAGATTGTACTATAGCTATATTAGAAAGATTCCAAGTTCATGGGCATAAGAACACAAAGTACCGATATTTTTAAAGATGAATTCTTTTTTTTTCCCCTTCCATTATTTCTGCAACATTATATAGCATATACTTGCATAACAACCCTTGTCCCAGAAAGACAATCCACACAGGTTCATTACTCAATTTCAGAACACTTGCAATGGTAATGGACATGGGATGGCTACCAAACAAAATTTATTCGCACTATTAATTAATCTAGAAAACTTCTCAGGACATTACAGATTCCAAGAATATAGGTTACAGCTTTTAACATGGAATGTGAACTTTGTTAGCATAATAGAGCTCCACCCAGCATATCATGTATTACGTTCCAAGTACATATTTGTGATTCCCTGGCATGCCAAGATGCTTAGGGACAAAAGCTGCTACTCTCAAAGTTGTTTGCCTACAAATAAATTATCAATAACCAAAGCTGAAAGTTTTTATCACACAGGCACACAGGACAACGTAAAACTATACTCTAGAAAGCATGTTAGTAATATGCAATACCTAATCAAATCAAATCCCCCATGCGGTATAAAATGCATATTTTTATTATGTATGCAACCCAAATGTACAATTAACCCTGGGGATAGATACTACCATCAAAATCTTTCTAGGCCATGTTCACTTCACCTTATATTTGATGAGCTGAAGCTAAACTGAAATTACTTTGCTAAACTTAAATTATTTTTAATGAAATTAATTTTGTTGAACTAGAACTAATTTAACTGACTGTCTATTATGTTTCTTATTTGACTTTACTGATTTTTACTGAACTGAAATATTTTTACTGAACTTATTTTATTGAACTAAAGTTATTTTTACTGAATAGAAATTGTTTTTACTGAACATTATTTTTTTAAAGGTGAAGTGAACAGGTTCTAATGTTATTTAAGCATAGTAGGACATTACATAAATGCTACAAGAAAACTTCAAATTGGTGCTTTGGTTGGAAGGATTAATCATTAAAAGGTGATCATCGATCTCACTCCTATTCAATATAAGACATTACATACTTGGGTTGTTACAAACTCATTTGAAAACCCTACATGTTCATCATATGTCTATGGATCTATACCTAGGCAATCTATTTAAAATATCAGAGGATGGAAGATTTTATTAATGTTTCTATGGTTTAGTCATAAGGATTGAAAATTAAAACCATCTAGCCATGAAAAAATATTAGGGTGATCCTATTGTCGACATATGTTCCTGTCACACTCATTCCACACTCACAGCTAAGGTGCCTAAGGATCATATACCAACTATAACGATCAAGTCCAAATTTACACAGCACAACTCATTACAAAGCTAACCCCACCACTTCAACACAACTCGATTTAAGTTGCTTAACTCAGGTGAGTTGAAGTATAATAATACTAGACATGAATATATTCGAAAGCTCATTTTCCCTAGACCTATTTAAGTTTCACTTGTCGGAAAGGAGCACAGCCAAAATTAGAAATGTACAAAGTAGTAACATTGGTAATTGTGAAAACATAAAGTACCACGAAAATTCAGTTGAATAGACTCTACTTACCTTGTGATGTAGAGCCTCACGAGCTCCACCAGGATAAAGAAGTATGTGCGACTTTGTTGAAAGCAATTTAAAGAAGTTGCTAGCAGTCACAGGTACCGCACCAAATACTTTCAAGTAATCAAAATATGATAATTCACTGTTTGAGGAGTTTGAACCAAACAATGCAGGATGAGCTAAACCTCGAACCAAGATTTTCTTCTCCCTCAGAAATCCTTCAGCAAGACCTGAGATCTCCAAGCCCATCAACATGTGATAGCCAACATATATAACAGGACCCTCACTGGGCACCCCACTGAGACCTTGCACAATCTTTCCATCCTCTAAGGTTGAGAAAAGCACAGGACTGGTATAATAATTAAGCCATCTGAAGTTCATATGATGTGTAGGCAGTCAGTAAGTATTATGAGCATCATAAAAAAGGATCTCATTGAAAAGGAAAGCACTGATACACACATGACAATGCCCACAAAAGGGCATAGAAAGTAGAAATATAATTTAAAAACCAACACATTAGCACCACACCACCCTCCCTCTTTTACAATGAGGATTAAGAAAAAAAAAAGTCCCAAGATTAAAAAATAAGCAGATATGAGGCAAGAAAAAAGTAAAGCACTATTAACAGCAAATAAAACAGGGATTTTTTTGGGTATATACGAAG